GTATACGTCTCTCCGTCATCCAGATGCCAGATTATTATTATTATTATTATCATTATATCAAATAAAAAATTACGTGAACAATGTTTCCATGGATTTTCGTTTATTCGAGTATCTAGAAAGTTTGTGAATTTTTTTTTTGATAATGATATTTAATGTGTTAAAATAATTTTTATTGTCCAAAGGTCCGTATCGTTCAGCGCTATTTTCGCATGCGAGAGGCGGGACTTTTTTTTAGGAGATTTCCTCCTCTTTAAGGGTTTTTTCAAACTTCGAATATCTTCAATATTTTCCGAGATATTTGCAAAAAACCAAACCTCCCTTTTCTTTACTCGATTGTTTATAACTTTTGCAATTTTTTGAGCCCCTCTTGAAATTTTTCAAAAAGTTTGTAGAGCAACTGGATTAGAATTTTCGATGCCCTTGGACAAAACTTCCAAAAAAAGGATATTGTGATTAAATTGTATTCTCATCAAAATTGAATGTGTGTACCAAATATCAGATCAATCTGTCGACAGGAAGGAGATCAAACTTAATTTACTGAATTTTACCCAAGCAAACAAACAAGGCAAGCTAAATAAAACCGTTTAAAAATAAGACTAACTTCTTTCAATATCGCAATCCACGGTAAGCCATACTTTTTGAAAACAAATTTTGCCATCTCAGACATGTCATGAGGTAAGTTTAGGATTGGACGTTCATCTACCCAATTAAACAAAGAAAATTTATGAAAACAATCCAACATGTAACTTTCTTCGAGGTCTTTCATAATCATAAAAAAGTACAATTGGCCAAGAATTATTAACGAGTGCAATTTTGAGTGACAATAATGGAAATTTTCAATGAAAATCTTATTCAATTAGAACTTGTCTTCTGAATATTACCGTTGATAAATAAAAGTGACGTCACTGGGCGATTCTAAATCCGCATTGGATAATAGGAGCCCATACACAGCAGTTCGAAAAGCTTATTGTTTACAGGGCTGCTATACCTACAGGATTCTCAATACCTAAGCTTTCTATGAAAAACATTATTTCCTCCTTCAGAGGTACTGTTTCATAATACAGAAGATGCTGATATACGTCACAGATTTGTGAGAAAATGGTGCGCTTGCACTTGCAGTTGGGCTATATCTAGATAAAATAGTTATTAATTGGTGGTTACAATAGCCGCCGCTTGGTTTTTGAGGGCCCCCATGCAAAAATTCAGTTAGGAATAGTCATGACAAAACATTTTTAACCGATCGCGAAAGAATAGAACGTAAAGGCTGACTTTCGACCATCAGTAAGTTGAGGACCGCTCGGAGAGCGGGGGTGGATGAAGTGGGGTAGTAGGTTCTTGTCGCTAAATAGCTGGGGGGGGGAAGCTTCTACTTCAGGGCACTCAACCCGGGGGGGTCAAAATGAAAATTGACCTGTTCAAGTATTGATTTGGTTGGTTACGAGTTTTGCCGTGGTCTTCTTTGGTTACAATCTCTTCTTGACGTATCAACTGAAAGAAGAGTACTTCGCCGACGCCACTGAAGATGACCGCCGCAGTTGCAGTTGAAACTTTTGCAGATCGTATGCAAACAAGACCACGGCAAAAGCCGGAAACCAACCAAAACATTGACCCAGCCATGAAAGTATTTTTCATAAATATGTTTATCAAAAATTTTATCAGCTACTATAAGGATAAAGATTAGAAAAATTAAATCACTATTATCATTTTCCAACAGCAGATAATTGAGTATTATATTTAGGCTGCAACTTTCCTATGTTTGATCCAGAACTGTAATGACACACTCCAGTATATTCTGGCAGGCCATAAATTGCGTTGGATAATGAAAACTCCTGTATTTGTCTTCCAACATTTGCCAAGATCCGAGTCGCCGACGACTCTCCTAGCCACCCTATACTGAACGGGGTCACCCGAATAATTCTTCCAGAGCGAAACGCCTCGAAATAGACCGTCTCGATTAGCAGACGTTACGTCATAGACCTTTTAATTACGTAATGCCTATCCGATAGCTTCCTTGAAGACAGAACAGAACAATGCAAAACGACATAGAATCACTAAATCTAAATCCGTCGCGCCACAAAAATATTTTCACTCACCGCTAAATTTAGATTTGGAGTCCGCCGCCTTCCTTATTTCCGTCTTTGAGGTAACCTAAAATAAAAGAGGAATGTGTGAGGTAACGAATAGTCTGGAGGTATAAATCATTTTGTGAAATGTATGTTTTTAGCGAATTCCAGTGAAACTGCATGGACGGAACCTGATGCAAGCTAGATGAAGAGAAGAGAATTGAAACTTTCCAGTTTTTTACCACTTTCATTAGTAATTAACGTTACTGCAGTTTCGTCCTAGAGGGACATTTTCAAACGTATACATTTTATCCTAGTCTGAAGAAGAAAAAAAAAGATTCGACGTTTTCAAACCATGCAACCACAAGTTCCCGAATCTTAACGATACGGAAATTTTGCAGTAAGCAAGGAAGGGTTACAAACTCAATTATTTAAAATCCTTGGAAATTCACAAACATAAACATTGCGGGTGCAACCTGTTGAATGATCAAATCGATTTAATTTACTCAGTGGTTTTCAAATTAGCACAACCGCATTGTAAATTCTAAATTCAGGTACTCAATCAAGCCAAGTATCTCTATTAATACCTACAGGGGTGCTATATAAGGTCTAATGTAATAAACCATTGTTAGTTTAATGTATAAGTTTGAAAATGTCCTTATAGGACGAAACTGTAGTAACGTCAGTCAAAAGACTGTTAGTAATTTGCATTTTTGGTTGGAGTATCAGGATCCACATCGATGGTTGTTCTTGAGAGATCGGGTTTTATTAGGCCGGGGGAAGTATGTCTGAGACTTCAGGATATTCCAGGCCGTGCGCTGTCCTCTATCTGATCGCCAGTGGGTACTCCTCTAGGATGTCCTGGAGGGAGGGAGGAACGGGAATTTCTTCCTTGGTATTCTTCTGGGGCCTCCACAAGGCGTTCAAGGAGTTGTGAGGGAGCTGATGGCAGCGGTGTTGCCTGACTGGCTTCAGCAGCGTATCGTCCTTGTAGTTCCTGAAACCTCAAGTTGATTGGGGTATCGGAATGGGAGATTATGGATGCTTCATTGGATTCGTCTCTCGGTTGTTAGTATGCGGTGGGTTTGTCTCTGGAATAGCGTGCAGTAGATCGTGTTTTAAAATCCAGCATCGATCTTATGAACATTTTGTACGTGTACTGTTGCATCTACCGAGCTTGCCTCTTGGTGCTTTTAGGAGATTGGCTCTTTTCCACACTTTTTAGAGTTTCTCCAAGGTCGGTCTCCCAGTTGAGTGCACTCGTGAAAGTAACCCCCAAATAGGACACCGAGTCCTGTACTTGGAGGTTCTCTTCCAACAGTCTGAGGTGTTAGTACTTATTCTGGGGCGGGTAGTGGTATGAGGGTGTCTGAATAGGGTGGTTTCGGTTTTGGACGGGTTTATTTTAATATGCCACTTGTTGCACAAGTGCTCGCAGGACCAATTCAGACTGTAACACCGAGTTACATGGGATCGTACATACTTGGTCAACATTACACCTAAATACATGTTCAACACAAACTTTGCGGTTAATGTCTCAAGCCGCGATGAGAGGAAAATCCTGATTCCCGAGAAAATGCAGGGTAGAAGCACCTGGTATATAGGAGGGTCGAAAACCGAAAATAGAACGGAATCTGGAAATCACTGCGCAGAGAGAAATATTTAGTTTAGTTACCTTAACTGCAAACAACCTAAAATATGTTCTGGTTGGTTTCCGGGTTTTGCCGTCTTTTTTGTTACAATCTGCAAAGGAAGTTTTATGAAAAATATTCAATAGCTCCTGAACTAGAACAAATTTATTTTCACACTTCAACGTCCATCATATAAAGACCACAGATTCAAAAAATTGTTGACTATATCAACCATTTTAATTTCATAAAGATGCTGGTATCAAATTGTTTATTCCAAGAATTTCATCAGTAAAGAATAAGGAAGTCGCTTCCTTGTAAATATCAACTGAATCAGCAACCTTCTTTAAAAAGTCTCCGATATAAATATGCGGTCCGTTCTTTTGTACAATTGGGATTAATCGCTACGAACACAGTTCAGCAATTTATTTTGCACCCAAAGCAGTCACAAGAGATTGAACTCTTTCCCAGAATCGGTTCTTATCGAAGACTGTTCTTTTTATCTTCGTGTTTATTTAACGACGAGGGTGATTTAGTGTTCACACAGGAAATAGACAACAAACAAATTTTCGATAAATAGCGCTTTGAGCAGAACCATCGCCGAAATATTCTACGAAAAGTTAGTGGGAATCGATTCTGAGAAGAGGGTAATTTTTCAGCGCCGAGGGCTAGTTCGGGCCACCCAAAAGCCTGGGAATATAGGCCCGACAGAGCGACGACGTGATATGATGACTTTTGGGACAAGTCAAGTGTTTTAAAAAATAGTAAAAATAGTAAAGATCTATAAAGCTAATTTGAAAATTTGGGAAAGATAGATTTTTAGGCTTCGCATTTCATGCATAAAAACTAATAAAAATGTCAGGCCTCAAATTTCATATTTTTCAATATTGATCAAATGTTCAACTTGCCAATGACTTCGTTCTTGGGGACTTCAGTTTTCAGGTTTTTCCAGATTATCTTAGCTGCAAAAAGTTCTCATGTATTTGCCATTCTTTGATTTATAATATTGTTTTACAAACTGTTAGTATATTTAATCAATTAAAGACAATTGGATATTTTTCATAGGGATATTAACAAAATTCATGAAAACATTAAATTCACTACTGAAGTAGAAGTAGACAACTCAAACTCAATCAGTTCCTTGGACTTAACAATCAGTAGGTAGAATGAACAACAAACAGGATTTTTCAATTCATCACAATCCATATTTCCATATTCCCAACACAAAGTAGCTTCTTATAATAGCATGATTCGCAGATCAGTCAATGTTCCTCTTTCAATAGATAATTTGAATAAAGAACTTAATATCATCAAGCAAAATGCAGTAAACAACAGATTTAAAGCTGAAATAATAGACAAAATACTTTCCAAAAATATCTACGCAAAAGCGATTCGAGACGTTTTTCCTATTGATAAGTTAGATAATCAAAATCAAAATTAGAGAGTTTTGAAATATTTTGGACAAACAACAGAAAAAGTGTCTTTATTTTTTCATAAACAAGATATTAAAATTGCATCTAGAACAGGTAGTACGTTGGGAAAGGTACTTGAAAATAATAAGGACCAAACACCGAAATTCGAGAAATCAGGAGTATATAAATTAAAATGTGGAACGTGTCCTAAGGTATATATTGGTCAAACTGGCAGAACATTTAGGTATCGTATCCAGGAACATCATTTGAGCTATGTAAATAAAAAATAAGTTCAACATATTCAAATCATATTTCAAACAGAGATTTCAAAATTTTACACATAGAAATCAATAAACTCAAAAATTCATACATTCAAATGAATGACCAACTGGATTCAAAAAGATCACCATTATTGAACTTGTTTTCTTAAAAACCGATGAAGTATTATTATTGATGTAGAATTGATAGAATATGCTTTAGGTTATCATAATTGAAGATGTACCGTAGGTACATAAAAGTTGTAGATGTTTTAGGTAATTTGATAGAGTGAGTACCTAAGTAAGAAGTCTCAATTGTAATTACGTAAGGTATATAAAAATCAGAAAAAATTTAACCAAAGTTTCAGTCAAATCAACTAAACCGTATTTTTGTTTTTTCCAACAAATGTTTCACATGATTCTAAAAATTATAGTTGTTTATTTATGAACCGATTGAAACGAATCAAGCAATAAATGTAAAGTGAAGCTCACGACAATCCGTTCTTGAAAATAGCGCGTAACAAACGCACAGACAAACCGATAAACAGACATCAGTTACAGATTTATTACATGTATTAATATTGATGATGATATTTATATTATCATTACTACCAACCCATTCTGGTTTCGCACGAGGGCATTTGAGGTTGTAGTTTAATCATAAAGTCTACGTCTTACAGATTTAACTATATATTTAGCTATTTTTAGTTATCTCTGTCAAATATTAAGCATTGCCGCGGTGATTCCAGAATGTTTTTATACACAATAACTTCTGCCCGTGACTTCGTCACACTTCTTTATTGATATTGATTCAACTCATCTGCAGGTCTGGTAGTAACTGTAAACTAAAACAAATTTGAAAAGTGAAAAGAAATCTTGAAAAACTATCCATAATGACTTTCAAAGTCAAATATGTTACATTCATCATGAGTACTCAATAATAATAATCCTACGGAAAACTTTGTCTCTTGAGAATTCACTATTAAACTTCCACAAAAAATATTCAACTCTGAAATTCAGTATCATGTAGATCAATCGAAATGAAGTGATTTTTAAACAAGTATTTCATTTCTACTACCTCTAACAGTACCATTTGGAATTTTAAAGTGGTGGAGTCTGAGGGATAGAATGACTGTACATTGTAGAAACCATAAAACTTAGTAGATTCACCATATCAAATTCAACAATGTATTACAACATATCAATTTTTCGGCGTTACATTTCTGAAAAACATCAATGCCTGGTCATAAAATTTCAGATTACAGATATCTGAAAAAATAGTGACCCATATTCTTTGTATCTGAAATTCTAAAATTTGGATGTGGATGCCAAACAACTTTCTCCGGTTTTTCAAAACTTATGAAATTATGTTTAATTTGAAAACATCTGCTTGACATCATTCATGATGCTTCTAGTGTTTTGTGCTGTTTTTGCAGAAAAAATCATTAGTCTTAGGAAAAGCCTTGTAATAAAGGGATATATTCATCGTAAAATATATAAACCATTATTTGATCCATGTGAATTTGTAAATTGAAAACGATAAATTTTTCCAATCACGAGAAAGTTTATATACTTTTCGTAGACGCGAGGTGTTTGAGAAATAGGATTTTTTTAACATATTCGATGCTTTCGCTGATGTCAGAACAGACACGTCCGATCCATGTGGACCTTCTTCCCACGGTGTTTTCCCACAATCACCGAGCGACTGACTTTTTTCGACGCAGGTTCCCTCAGGAACGACCCAATTCCCAGAATTAGGGTCCGAAATCCATTCATTGGAAATAT